ATTCAGACATAACCTACTATCACTCTTGCTGGTTTCTGCTGGCCGCACACAGACCAACCCTGTAAAAGGAGGGAGGGACTAGGCACAGGTGTGAAGACCAGGACTCAGTGCTCCTCAGGGGCTGTCTTGGAGGCTGGCTAACACAAAGATGGTTGTAAGAACATTTCTCTGGGAATCTTGGCTACGGCCTGGTTCTTGAGGTCCTGGCCTGAAGGCTTTCCTGTTAACCCCATGAGCTGCCTGCTGCCTTTCTAATGATATTTGTTTATTTAAGTTCACAAGCTCTGTTTTCTCTTGAGAAAGGGCAGTGGTAGACCTCAGCCAGTAGTGGCAGGGGCTCCTTCTAGACCAGGTGGTCAGGCAAGGCCTCCCTAAGAAGGTGCAGTTTGCCCTAGAGCTGATCAGGAAGGAAGAGCCAGTGGAGGAAGGGTGGAAGGAGGGCCATAGACAATGTTCTGAGGTAGGAGTTCAGATGGCTGAACGGCTGAGGTAGCAAGCAAGTGAACACTGGCGGGAGAGATCATCGGAAGCCAAGTCACATAGGACCTTAAGGTCACAGTACAGATACTGGATCCCCTTTGCTGGAACTAAAGCTGTCTCTTATTCCAGATATCAGAGTCTGAGAAGGCCGAAGACCAGATCCAAGGGCTCCTTCTCTAGGAATGAGAATTAACCAAGTCAAATAAGTAGCTTTAACCAGGTCATAACAAAGAAATTCTGTACTTTGAATATATTCTGACCTCTCCCCTCACCATATGTTTTGTTAGCTCTCGGATTTTCCAAGTTTCTGGTTGGGGTTCTTTTCAAAGTTTCTTAGTTCCTTTTGATAAATCCCAACGTAGATCTGCTGAGCTAAAGGGAAAGACTTTTGTTCACTTTTAAGCCTGGGAATCCCAGCTAGAGAGTCTGGTCATCTGGTGGTGATGGGCAGGTACCCAGGACAGTAGGAGAAGGAGCGGGTGGCTGCTGATGGATCCCTTCAGTTCTCATTACTTTATGCTTTATCCTCCTGAATTCATTTACCAAAAACCCAATCAGTATCTGGGATGTCTGGGATCTAGTTGGGCATCAGTTTACAAAGATGACTGTGACACTGTTCCTCCTCTCTAGGAATCAAGTTAGATGTAAGGAATGGCCCAATCCAAAGGTCGTTCAGCTCTGTTACTTAGAAATTGGAACCATGGCCCATGGCCAATGACAACAAGCCCTAGATACCCTGTATTCTAGGGAAACAGATGATTTCTCTTCAGGATCTACTAAAGGAGTCAGAACTGGTCCAATGTCCACTAGCCAAAGCCCCAATTTCTTCTTCCTTGCCCATATAACAATCCTGGGGATTGTTTTGGTTTTATTGAGGAGGGTAGTGTGTATAGTGGGAGGCAATTTTCTTCCCTCCTAATTAAAGGTGTGAGTGTGTGTGTGTGTGTGTGTGTGTGTGTGTGTGTGTGTGTTGGGGGGACCTCAAAGGGAGCCCTTCAAGGAGTTTGAGAGTGACTATGAGACAGGGATGGTGTTCCCTGATGGGGACTTGGCAGTGGGCTGTGCCTATCTGCGCAGGAAGAACACGGACAGAGAGAGAGAGGGCACTGTGGAGCAGCGGCCAAGGACGCCTGTGTTCCTGTGGGTTAAGTGCACACTGAAGTAATTAGCCACACTAGAGCACCTTTCTGATGTCCCACACAAGCAGGCTGACTGCTGGGCAGGACCCAGACAGGGGACAGCCAGGTAGGAGAGCTAATGCCTGAGCTGGATACCCCCCGTCAGGGAACTGTGCAGTGGGGTAGGCCCTATAAAACTTATCCATGTGCCCCATGAGAAACTATAAATGGACACTTGCCACTCTAGGAAAGGAGGTTTGACCAGCAGAGACGGGGCTCTTGCAGGAATGGACATATTTACAGGGATATTTCCTCTTTCTACACCTTCCTCCCCATTTCAACAATGGGGAGGGTGCTAGGGTACATCTGTCAACTAGGCCATCTCCTTTCTCTTGCTTTTTACTTTTAGTGACAGAGTCCTGGGTCCAGTCAACCTTTGGGTGAGACTAAAGCTTCATAGGATGGACACTTAATTAACAGCAGAATGTAATCCAAAAGTAATATAATCTGCCCACAATGTCATTAAGGGATGGAAAAGGGAAATTCAACACAGCATGGCCAAAGGCAGTTTAGGGGAAAACGCTTCATTATTATGTCCCATGGAGTTGACTCACCTTTGTACACTGGTTCCATAAATAAACAGAATAATTGAAAGATGATAAGGCTCAGCTGTAGTCTCACTCAGGTAAGCAGTCACTGGGTTCTGAGAGCCTGGGGAGGTAGCCTGGGTTGGCTGCTGGGAGGACTTCCTGGGGAGGGTCACCCAAGCCCAGCCTTGAAGGACGAGATTAAGGAAGAGCAGGAGCATAGCTTTCCAGCAGGGGTGGGAACACAAAGCATCTGGGAATAGGGTGGGGCGGGAGCATTAGGTGGAAGGCTGGAAGTTTAGTTAGAGATGTAGGCAGCAAGGCCTTGCAGCCCTGTGAGCTTAAAAGTGAGGGCCCTTGAAGGTCATTTCAGATCTGGGAGGACACAGTCAGGTTCACATATTAGCTAGGTCCCCTTGGTCACCAGATTGTGGCAGCACTGTAGACCCTTGACTTCCAAGTATGTTTTTCATTCATTCACCCGGCCTGTGACCCCTTCCCCAAAGCCATTGACTTTGATTCCAAAGTCCTGGCTCCTTGCTCTTCTGAATGTCCTTTGCCCCATTTCTGTTGCTGAAGCCTTCCTTGTTTCCCTCTTTAATGGGCTTCTGACTACGGCTGCCTCCCCTTAAATCATCTCCTTGCTCTCTTCCTCCAGCACACTCTTCTCAGCCCAACAAGGTTCTACGCTCTCTCTGGGCCTTGGTGCCGGTGCATGTCTCTTTGGGATGTGCATGTACTGAAATAGCTTCCCTTTGTCTTGTTTGGTCTGCACCCCATGGGGCAACCCAAAGGCTACTATTTGTTCTTTCACACATTAATTTAAGCTGCTTTAATTGCTGCTATGATATGTTTTATAAAATATAATTAATGTTTTAATTCTGTGTACTTGCTTCCCCAGGCAGTTTCGTGAAAGGTCCAATTTTGGAATCAAGCAAATAAGGAATAAATAATGACTGAAAATATTATAGTAACGCCCCCTTCCCAAAGGAATTAAAACTGTGCTTGTGTTTTCAAAGGGGGTTAAAAAGAGAAAAGCTATTTTAATCTTCTCTTCATCCTAGGCATGATTGGGTGGCTTTAATGAAGACTCCTGGATCCAACTCCTGTTTCTGGCCTTTTTGTATCTGACCACCATCCCTTTTATCCATGGGTCACTGAAGCTTGAAGTCTGCATTGAGGCGGCCAGCTTCGTGTCCACCTTCCTCTAACTCCTTTTGTGTTCAAGGCTGAGCTGCAGATCAGAAGCTACTGAACTCAATAGCTCATATATTTACTCATTGAAAAATGGTGTATTTGTGTTCTGTTATGTGCCCAGGACTGGGATAGATCCAGCCCTACCCTCAAGGACCTCACAATCAAATGGGACCAGGCATCCGGGGAGGAGGCAGGGTGGAGCACTACCTCTGTTTCAGGGTGTTGGGGAAGGCAAAGCTCCTTTTCGGAAGGACAAGGAAAGGAAGGAATTAGCAAGTCAGAGAGAAAAAAAAAAACAACCAATCATTGGCCTGAGAATTGGGGAGAGTGTGAACATGGTTGGAGCCAGCATACATGGGAGGACATGTCAGGAAGTGATCGTGGCTGGAGAGGGCAGGGCTGAGTGGGAAATAGCTTCTCCCCAGCATAAGGGGTTTGGGTCATCCTGAGGGCATAGAGAGCCCAAAGAGGTGTTTACACAGGAAAAGGCCCCATCGGAATCAGCACAGGGGTGTGTTAGGGGGGGAGAGAGAATGAGTGAAGCTACTGGCATGGTCTAGATGAGAGATAATGATGAGCTTCTGAATTAGGACAGTGGCAGAGGTGATGGAAGACAAGGCATGGATTCCAGAGGTAGAAGCTATGAGACCTGTAAGTGTGTCCTCTGCAGCATAAAGATGAGGTCAGTGGGTCCCCCCCCCCCGCCCCCCGCCGTCTTTGCAGCCTAGCCTCGTAGCCTGGCCTACAAGTTCAGAGCTTTGAGGGCATCAGCCCGAGCACTTTAGCGCCTCAGGTTTCCCGGAAGAAAAACGAGGTTCAAGGCAACTCCGTGCACTCGCGGCAGACCCTGGACATGAACCCAGGCGATCCACGCTGCAGAGCACAGGCTAACACTGGTTGAGAGTGCCTTGGAGAAGGGGGCAGGATGCGGGAGCAGCAGGCTCAAGGAAGGGCCTCGAGGCTAACATTTTTATGGGTCCTGTGAGCCCACGAAAGGCTGGTGTATCCGATAAATGCCTGCCTCCAAGCAAGAGCTGGATGGGAGCCGGGATGGGATAGAACCTGACTGGGATCCAAGGGTGAGAAGATGGAGAGGCCGAGGCGCTGGGCTCCCAAGAGGGAATTTCCTTTGAAACAGAGCGAGACTGTATTGGGAGCGCCGTTTCCTTGAAACGCTTCTTCACGCTCAGTTTAGGCCTTCCCGTTTTCTCCGGGTGGTGGTGGTGGTGGTGGTGGTGACTTCCTCGGGGGTCTCTATCCTCGTTGGAGACGCTTTCGGTTCTGCTGGAATTTCCGGAGGCGACTGGGGGGCTGGAGGGGGAGCCCTGGGGTCCCTGTGGAAGCACCAGCACCTGCGGGGGTCCTTCTCTCCTTCCTCCAACCCCTAGGAAGCAGACTGGCTTCTAGTCCGTCTCTACGTAGCCTTTACGGGTCCGAGGAGCGAGGAGTTAGGGCCCTTTCGCTTCCCTAAACTCCCGGGGAGGGGTGAGGATTAGAATCCTGGGAATGTCCTGGGGAAATCCCTGGGCTGTGACAGGCCAAGGGTGCCGCCCGCACCCCGCAGGCGGAGGCGATTGGTCCTTGAAGGACACGCCCCTTTCCTGGGCGGGGCCACAGGCCAAGGCCGAGAGGTTACTAGAGGCTCCGCCCGCGCGCCCGAGGCTCCTGCCACCCGGGTTTCACCCCACCATGGTTCGCGTGCCTCTGCAGTGCGTCCTCTGGGGCTACTTGCTGACGGCCGTGAGTAGTTTCTGTCTCGACTCGACTGGGGTTTGGGATTCGAGAGTGGGGAAATGAGAAGGGAGGAGGAGGAAGACTTAGTGAGAGACTTTCTAAGTTGATTGTAGGGCGACAGGAGGGTGTGTGGAAAGTAGGAAAGGCACTCCGGATCCTGGCTAAAAATAAGGTGGCTGTCTCACCTGCCTGCCAGACTGTTGGGGTCCAGGTGGGCCACAGTGATCGCTTGGCGGGGGCGGGGGGGGGCACTACCCTCACGGATGTGCCTGGACGGTGTGGATGGGTTGGGGCTTAGGGAGCCTCCATCTCTATCCGAGCAGCAGGGTGGCGTCTAGGTTTGCTGCAGAGGCTGGTCCCAGAGGCCGGAAGGGATTTCGGAGGGCGGGGGAGGAGCTTGGCCAGCAGGCGGGTGGGTCTGGCCTGTTTCTTGTGCCTTTCCCGTCCCTTTCCCCTTGTGGAAGGAGACCAGCCTCCAGAGCTTAGCTTCTTGCCAGCGGGGGCTGCTTTCTTCCAGAGCATCTTGTGGTAAGAAGGGATGGGGGCAGAGGTCCACATACTTTTTTGGGAAGGCTCACCTCACACCCCCAGCCCCCAGCCCCATCCTGGGTGAGCCAACTTAGGAGGAGGCCCCAAGGTTATGTCTCCCTGTCTTGAATTTAAGGTGACATAGGGGGCCCCTGTGTGAGATGAACAGTTCATGGGACCCAAGAAAGGTTTCCCAGCAGGGGTTTCTCCAGGTACCTGAAGAGCTGAGATCCAACGAAGCATATCACTGGGTTTTTCAGAAGCCCAGACTTGACTCACTTTTGGTTTAAATGTATTTCTGTAGTTCCTCATTCTGGAGGCTGGGAACTCCCCAAGTACCTGGCTCTCTCATCCCAGCCCCTCTGGCTTCCCCCTTACTTCAGGGACTGTAGATTCTGGCAAGAAGCTGGGACAGGAATGACCCATGGGCTGTGGATGTGTGTGTGTGTGGGGGCTGTCAATCATAAGGGAAGAAAGTGACTGGAGAAGTTGCTTTGGTTCCACACTTTCATTTTCACTCTAGGGAATGGCTTAGGGAGCAGGCAGGCAGGAGGAAGGCCTTATCCCAGGAGGGGAGGACTAGCTGGAGAAGGTAAGGGAAAGGTCACCTGGGCTTCTCAAAACTAGTCCTTATGCTCCCGTAACACCCAATTTGGGCTCCAGGTAGATCCTGGGCTGTGATAGCAGGAGCTGTTTACTGAGATCTCCCTGTGCATCCATCAAGCTCTGAGTAAAATACTACTTATAGTCTCTACCTGACTCCTCCCCACTCCTGCATTACACAGATGAGCACACAGAGGCTCAAGAAGAGGAATTTTCTTCCCCAGAGTCTCATAAGAAACTCACAGTAGAACCTGGATATGAATCTATATCTGTTGAAATATAAGCCGTTTGCACACATGGTGAGAGTCTCCAAGCCCTGGTCCTGAGATCTTCTTTGCAGAAGTACAGGAGCTACGGGGGACTGGAGAATGGGGGCTGACCAGTTTTCAGAGCAGGAGCCGTTTTTCTCATAGTTTTGAAGATGAGATCAAGGGAAGGTTCACAGGGTGGTGGCTCAGAATGTGCTGTGTGGGGGGCAGTAGCCTTTTCTGTTTCCTTCCCCATTTGGGGTAAGATGTGTTTCTGTAAGTAATCTGCTTAGATACCAGGTTGAGTGAGAACTGACAATTAGCTGGATCCTGGATTGCCAACCAGTTAGCCAGTGTGCTGGGCTAACTAGCTGGTGCTCATCTATGTGTGATGATTGAAGCTGTCATTTAATGAGTATCTAATGGCGGCAAACCTATGGCACGCATGCAACAGTGGGCTCTTTGCATCATTGAAAGCTCTAGAAGGCTCACCATCACTGGTCTAGACACTATGCCAGGCTAAATACATGTATTTCTTCTCATCTTCACAACCCAATAATACCTGCAGGGTAGGTATTATTACTACCATTTTAAAGACAGGGAAGCTAAGGCTAGAGGAGCAGACTAACTTGAAAGTATTACAAAGTGTAGGGCCAAAGCTGCCTCATTCTCAAAGCTGTGTTCTTTTCACTGGCTGTTCTCAAGGTGTGGGATAATTTTAGGGAGCACATGGATATAGAACTGAACACAGATTCATTTTCAGGTTCTTTTTTTTTTTTTTTCCAATGCTCATTTTTTCAAGGAGGAAGTCTCTGGAGCTGGAATATAGTTAATGTCTCTCAAAGGCTTGCTAATCTTCTTTTTAAACTAAAATCAAGAGTGGGCCTGGGGTGGAGAGCCTTTATTTAGCGTGCTAAGCAATGAGCTGAGGTTTAATAGCTTTTTTTGTTTCTGTTGAATTTATTTTTAGGGTTTCCTTTTACTTATGAGAAGTGATACTGGTTCTTCTCTCACGGAAATGATATAAGGTTTGCATTTAAAAGAAAATTATTTAAATAGCACGAAGCAAGTAATAGCATGGGTGGTATCTGGGCATCATAGAGATGGTGGAGGCAAAACACAAGTCGATGGAGAGAGGGCCTATTGAGACCTGAATACTCGGTCAGATTATGCCCCGTGGGGCCCTGGGCAAGTGACTCAGCCTCTGTGGTGGTCAGTGTCAATCTCTGTAAAATGAAAGATTTGGATTTTATCCTTCCAGCTCCACAATCCTAGCATTTTATGAGGAAGGGCTTTGGTGAACAGATAATGCAGAGTTGAAGGGAGAAACCTGATGGGACTGGGAACAGGGAAGGAAGAGGAACAGAAGAATAGGAGGAAGAGGCCATATGCTCATTATAGCCTTACCCAGCAGTGGGGCCAGCCAAAGCCAGCCAGCCTCAGGACTCCAGGGAGACACTGGGATCCTCATGCCTTGTGGGTCATTAGGAAGAGTAAAGGCACAGGAACCAAGCAGTTTTGTTCAGTTCAGAGAATACATGGGCTTCCAGTGCTATTGCTTTGTAAAATACCAGAATGATTCTCTGGGCGCTGTTATAATCAGATCAATTGACAGTTCTGTTTTTTTTTTTTTAAACAAACACAGCCACTACTCTGTGGGCTCCACTTTTCTGCTTTGGACTTCCACGTCAGTTGCAGCCTGTGTCCTGGCTGCCTTTCAACCTTCCTGCCAAGGAAGCAACAGCAGAGACTTCAAGATCCCTTCCAATTACACAATTCTGTTTATAGGTCTACCCAGAAGCATCTCTTGAATGTAGAGAAAATCAATTCCTACTGAACAATGTGTGCTGTGATTTGTGCCCACCAGGTGAGATGCCACCCCGAGACCCCTCTTGGTTTGCTGCAAGATCCAGACCCCACGTATTAATTGTAAAATCAAGTCTGACACAGCTATTTCTCCTCTCTGCCTTGCAGTCAGAATGTTCTGTGTTCCCTCTCTGCCAGGTGGACCTCTGTCTACTCTCAGTGGGGTTCCTATCCTATCTCCCCTACCTGACTGAAGGGTCTGAGACTTTCATTTTTGACCTCCTCCTTAAAGCCCAGCCAGATTAGGGTCTGACTCATTGAGTTGGCCAGAGCTGCCTCATTTCCTGTTTTCCAGGAGAGAAGCTGGTGGATGAATGCACAGAGTTCAAGACCACACAATGCCTTCGCTGCACAAAAGGCGAATTCTTAGGCGCCTGGAACAGAGAGAGACACTGTCATGTGCACAGATACTGCGACCCCAGTGCGTGGGATGCTGGGAAGGGGATGCTTGGTAGCTGGCTGATAGATCTGACAGTGCAGCTGATTTGATTTTGGTAGCCAGGGTTGTCCTGATTGGTTGGAATTTGGGTTGTACTGGTTGTTAAATAAGTTGATTGCTATCCTTAATTAGAAGAGAGTCTCAGAAAAACAGCAGGTAATATGAGGAGTGGGGTGCCCAGCATGGGCCAGCCAGGGGCTCCCATCCTTGCTGCTCATCTCTGCTCAGATCTAGGGCTTCAGGTCCAGAAGGAGGGCACCTTAGAAACAGACACCACTTGCTTCTGTAAGGAAGGCCAACACTGCACTAGCGATGCCTGTGAGCACTGTGATCTCCACACCTCCTGTGGCCCTGGATTTGGGGTCAGGCATATAGGTAAGTGGCCTGTGTGGGAATCAGCTGTCCAGGGAGGAGAGAAGAGCTGAGGGTCAAAGGTGAGGGGCTGGGCAGAGGGCATTTAGCCCCAGAGGTGGAGGGAGTAGAGACTCCAACCTAGAACCGCTTGCCTGCTAGAGTGACAGGAAATGGGGCCCCTTACATTCTTCCTCCTGCCAGGGGTATGTGCCTTGGGAGAGCTGTGGGAGAAGTCCTGCTGGCCTGCGGCCTTCAGAGCCAGCCCTCTATCCGGGCAGGTCTGTCTGTCCACTGGCTCCCCTGAGAGCCAGGCTGGTGGTCCATCTGATGGTTAATGCGCCCTCCCTACCCGCGCCCAGGTACAGGGACTTCTGATACCATCTGTGAACCCTGCCCGGATGGCTTCTTCTCCAATGTGTCATCTGCTTTTGAAAAGTGTCACCCTTGGACAAGGTATCAGGACTCACTCCCTGGAGTGGCATGAACCCTGCCTCAGTCTCTCCAGCCACCTGTCTTGCAGCCCCTGCTCCCCCAGGGCCACACACTCATGTGAAACACCTCCAGAGTGACCTTGTGGCCAACCTAATGGGCACTCTGCATTTTTCTTGCCTGCTGTCTCTTAGTGTGATGGATACCGTTGATCTGGTTTTCTCAAAACTCTTCCACCTTGGGCATATTGCAACAGCCCTGTGTGCCCCTCCTTCTGCTATTCCTGTTTCTTTCTCCTTTCAGCTCCTTCCCTGTCATCCTTGGGCTTTGTTCTGGGCTCCCTTCTCTAATCACCGCCACCTTCTCCGAGACATCCCCTCCATATCCATGGCCTCAACACCTGTCCCCTTTGGGTGGCTCCTGAGCACCTGGCTCTGTCTCCTGGGCTCCAGACTTGTGTCTAATTGCTGAGTGTTCACTTCTACACAGTGCAAGATGGACCCTCCTATGCATGCCCCTTCCCTGGGTGAAAGGCACATCATGGTTCTGGACATTCACCCCATGAGCCTCCCTCCTTACCTCCAGTTTCAGCTGCCACGTCCTGTCCATCTAGCCCGAGAGTTTTGGGAATTCATCTCATCAGTTAGTTTGGCCTCGTCACTGTGGTGTTGTGATAACTCCCCACCAGTCCCTGCCTCCAACATCTCCCCTTCAGCTGGTCCTCCCTCCTCTTCCTAGAGTGAGCTTTCCACAGTTCCTTTTGGACCGTGACACTCCCTGATTTCAAATCCTTCAAGGCTCCGTGCTGCCTGAGGAGGAAACCCAGACTCCTCGGGCAGCATGTGCCTCCATCTGTATTTCCTGACCTCCTCTCCCGAATCCTGCTGACACGATATTTGCGATCCCCTGAGCACGCTGTTCATTCTCTTGCCTCAAACTCTTCTGCATGGGAGAACCCTTAAGTACATGCCCCATTAACTTTTTACACTGAATTTTAAAAAATGGGTAAAACAGGCATATTGGACAGAAAACACAGAAAGGCCCTCAGTGATGAGTCTTCCTCCCACCCGTGGCCCCCAGCCTCCCAGTTTTCCTCCCGGGCTGCCAGTGTTGTGTGTCCTTCCAAAGACCCTGTGCCTGAACGAATCTGAGCACGCACACACATACACACATGGACGTTCACATTCTTCCTCCTTTTTTTCACACAAGTAGGACCACATCACATGTACTTCATTTATTGTCTGCCTTTTCCTGATGACTTTTTTTCCTTCTACCCATCTGTCCCCAGGGCCTGGAACAGAGTCTGCTGCGTAGCAGGTGCTCAGGCTTTGCTAGCAAGGGTGGGCTACCATTAGAGGCTCCCAGGCTACAGTCAAGTGGCGCACTGCCGTCCAGTTAGCCTGCAGCTCAGTAAATGTGTAGCTCTCACCTCTGAACCGTGGTGTCCTTATCTGGAAAATGGGAATGCTGTCCTCTCTAGAGGATGGAGAAATAGGCACATAAAAATGTTTGTAAACTCTTGAATGTTCTTCTGTCTCTCTCTCTCTTATTTTTTTTGTACCGGGGATCAAACTCGGGTCCTTGCACTTGTGGGGCAGGCAGTGGAACCACTGAGCTAAATCCCCGGCCCTGTACTTCTCATGTAAAGCTAAACTGTGTGCTTTCCTGGAAGCTTTTCTCTCTTTCTTCCACCTTTGATGGGTTTTCCTTCATAACATCCTTCTCTGTTCACTCCTACCTGCTCCTCTGAGGGCTACCTGGGACCTGTGTCCCTCATCTTCTGCAGAGTCTCCTATGGTGCCTCCTGGCTGCCCTCTCTTCTGCAGTTTCTCCTCCTCTGAGTTCAATGCTCAGCTGATCCTGTCACTAGTTAGGTCATCTGCTTGGGTGCTGATGAGACTCACCAGCTGCATCCAGTTGAAAGCTTCATATCTGGTTATCCCTTCATGTCTGGTTACCATCCTGCTTGCCAGCCACCTGATTTCCCTCTCACCTGTTTGTGTAGCTGGAATGCACTGCTGCTCTATGTTTTACCTCCTTCAGGGTCCTCTTGGGTCTTTCTTCCACAGGGAAGTCTCTACTGATGACCCTTAAACCAGAACTTCGAAACTGGGGGCAGTTTTGCTCCCTGTGGGACATTGGTCATAACTAGACAGCTTTCAGGTCACAACTGGGGAGGGGGAAGCTCCTGGCACCTAGTGGGTACAGGCCAGGGGTGCTGTTACACACCCTACCATGCTCAGGACAGCCCCCTACCTCTTGCCCACAACACAGAATTATCCAGCCAAGAGGTTGAGAAACACTGCCTTAAACTGAACTCATCACTTCTCCATTCTAGCCGCTGTGGATTCTGACTCTGAACAACGCCCATTTCATTTTATCTGGTGTCACAAAGCTTGGCGCTCATTATTGACTCTCATTATTCGTTCTTCAAGATATGCCGTCGTGTGTTCTTTGCACTTGAGTTCCGTAAGAACAGAGTTGGTGCCATAAAAAGCAGTAAAAGCCAGCATAGGCCGTTGCATATGATGCCTGCTCAGTGAACCTTGCCTTGCTGGTGTTGATTGCCTCCCTCTGGGGTTGGAAATGTCAGGGTTGGGAAGACCTAATGTTATTTCTGTCTGTGTGTGTACACGCTCACGTGTGTGTGTGCACATGTGTCTGTCCACAGCTGTGAGAACAAACAGCTGGTGGAGCTACAAGCAGGAACTAACGTGACTGACGCTGTCTGCGGTGAGTCCTGGGGCTCGGGCCTGGGCGCCGTCTAGGAAGGCCGGAGCTGAAGGGAGAAACTGAGGCACCGGGCGGGGTAGGGGGGAGTGCATCGAGAGGAGGGGTGGGCTAGGGTGTGGCCTCCAGCTTTACCACTCGCCCTGGGAGCCCCTCTGAGCATCAGGATTTCCTCTGTAAAATGGAATGACGGCAGTGACTTCCTTAGCAGTTAGTGTGGGTACCAGACGTGGGTCCTGGCGCTTTGCAAGCACCCCACAAACACCATTCTGCCACTCCACATTTCAGGAACTAGGGTGCTGTAACATTGTGCCCTGTGGGCCTCAGTGTTGATGTTAGAATGAGAAGGTTTGGCCTACAGCACAGGTCATAAACTCAGATAGCTACAAGGACTAGGGGGGTCGTGTTAATGAGTGAAAGGGTCAGACGTAAGAGAAGTACATTCTCTTTGCACTTTTTCAAAATTGACTTTCCTTTTGTCAGGGTTGGACTAGAAAGAAGTAAGTGAGGCACTTGGCCTCAGACCCAGTATTTAAGGGAATGACTTAAAACGCAGTAATCAAAATGGACAATATTATGATGCAATATTAAAAAATCAAAACAAAAATACTCATGATGAGTAAAATAGCAAAATTTTAATGAAAGACAGGTTCTAACCTTGTATTTGCATGACCCTGCCTCACTCTACCCTAATTTTAGCCCTCGCCCAATAAAACTTTATTTTTAAAATGGGTGGCTAGGGCCGGGAATTTAGCTCAGTGGTTCTGCTGCCCGATTCCCAAGTGCAAAGTCCCAAGTTCAATCCCTGGTACAAAAAAAAAAAAAAAAAAAAGAAAGAAATAGGTGGCTGGCATTAGGCCATCATTTGCTCACTTGGTGTCTGCTGGCTGATTTTCCAAACGTGGCATTAAAAAAGGACTTGGTTCTTGATATTTTTTGTGTCCTCTTCAGTTTTTTCCAAAGTGTTTGTATGGCTTGCCTCATGCTAGGGACCACCTGCCTCTTGGGCTTTCTGTTACTTGCTCACTTAGATGAGAGACCCAGACTCAAGAAATACTTCCCTCCTTGACTCTTCTATAGAAGAAGCAGCAGTGCAGACAAATGGAACTGGACCTCAGTATGGGACAGAGTAGGGTGTGTTAGATAAGCAGGCTCGACAGCCACCTCTACCTGGCTCTAGCTGATGGCTTCCAAGCGGGGATCCTGGTCACAAGGGCCAGACCCTTCCAATTTGTGAGACTAGATGCTCAGATTTTAAATATGGAATCTCCCAACTTTAAAATGTTGGCAGATATCTCAAAGCATTAAAAAAAATGTGCTGGTCGCCTTAAAGATATCTGCCGACCAAATTTCCCCCAAAGACACTCATTTGAAATCTCCGATGTAGATAAGTTCAGACACTGGAGGATTTTAGAGTCTGGCAAGGGACAGCAGCTTTGGGGGTGGGGGTGGGAGCAACTGCATGGGCAGGTGCACACTGATGTCTCGATTTCTCCAGGTTTCCAGAATCGGAGTCGAGCCCTTCTGGTGATCCCTGTCATCATAGGCATCCTGATTGTCATCTTGTTGATGTCTGTGTACTTCACTGAGTTCCCAGGTGGGGAGAGGAAGGGAGGAAGGGAGGGAGGAAGAAGTACAGGTCTGGCCTCTTTAACTCCACAATCGTTTCCTTCCTTTAGGAAGGGTGTTCAGGAAGCCAAAGAATCAGGTAGGTCAGCCCTGGGACTGGGACAGAGTCTCGGCAAGCTGGAAAGACTGACTCATTGTCACCTATGGGCAGGAAAAGTGATTCAGAGTCGATCTCTGCAGCCAGTTAGGATGGCAGCAGAACAGCCACTCTCACCTTGCTCACCCCTACATTTCAGCCTTCATTCCTTTGCCCACTCACTGAGTCCCAGGCTCTGTCGCCTCCCTGGAGCTCACCTCTCCCTGGAGCTGCCCTGGTATGATTGACAAAGTCTAACCCTGGTGGTTTTTCACTCCTTCCCTAGCATTCAACATGAGGGGACCCACAACTTTGGGCCTTGGAAGGGTCCAGTGGGTGGGGGAATCCACTGGTCTGGAAGCTTCTTATCACCCTTAGTGTGGCCAGCAGGTGGCAGGCGGCACCCAAAGAATCTGCTCTGGCCCACTGGGAAGGGGGAGAGGGCGTGGGAGGGGACCTACTTCCCAGGGTCAGTCCTCTCCAAGGCGCGGCTGCCTCTGTTCCCAGGGTAACTTCACACCTTGGCTTTCCAGGCCATCCATGATAAGCCTGAGTGGCAAGGTCCTGTGGAAGTACCAGATGCAGACGATTGTCTTGGCCACAACACTGCTGCTCCAGTGCAGGAGACTTTGCATGGGTGCCAGCCCGTTACCCAGGAGGATGGCAAGGAGAGCCGCATCTCAGTGCAAGAGAGACAGTGAGGCAGTGCCTACCCAGGACGTGGCAGCGTGGGCACAGGGCACCTGGCTGGAGAGCCTGGACCTTCTGTGGTGGTGAAGATGAGAGGCTGGCACTGGCCAGGCACAGCCCCCTCTGCCTGTACTGCTGGAGTCCGAGAGCAGCCCTAGACTCAGCGTGAGATGCAGGACACAGTCCACTTTTGAGAAGAATTTCTCACGCCAGTTCTGGAGCCCATCCAACTTCCCTGCTTGCTTTTAAACATGGAGGGAAAACTCTGGTGTTGGAGGAATACAGGACTAAACCTCCCAGCCCAACCAGGCAGCTTGGTGGCCAGACCTGTATCACGTGATTTCCATGCGTCCACGGAGCCATAGACACCAGTGTCCACTGCAGTGTTGTTTGTCATCGTGAACAACTGGCAGCCACCTAACTGTCCATCTGCAGGGGACTGGCTAAATAGAATGGATATACATTTATAAAACAGGACCTCAAAACCACTGTCATGTGAGAAGAGAGATTGTGGGATGATAGATATGGAAACTCCAAAGCAATACAATATATACCCTATATATAAAAATACAATAGTGTATACAATGTTGTGCATAGATATATAAATACAGAATCGTGACTATATGTATAAAAATAATATATGTTACGTATGTAGGTAAAACAAGGGTTCTGGAAGGATACACAGAAAACTCCAACTTGAAGAGTGGTAATTTCTGGGTGGGGGACATTTGGCTTTCCCATCATGCTTCATTTTGTTCCCCAAAGGACAATGAATTCACATAATACTTATGTAATTAAAAAAATCATCAAACATGCAAAAAGAAAAATGGGGGTGGACATGCTGGGTGACACAGGCTGTTTAATTTGCTGTCAGGCTCCCAGAATTAGGGCACTTTCTGAGGGTAATAAGAATGTCCCCAGGCTGCTGCCCCTCTGGACCAGTTTCCACGGTGTGCTCACATCAAGCAAGCAAGGCACATCCTCCTTGTTTGATTTATGCTCACGAAAACAGCTTTCCAGAGCAGGCAGGATCTGCATCCCCCCTCTTTTACAGAGTGGAACGGAGGCCCAGAGAGCTGAAGTGACTTGCCTCTGCCACACAGCAGTGTACGGAGTTCCCATGCTCGGAGCTTCCCGGTCTTGGTCCTAGCTTCTCCCAGATCGGCCTGTTCTCTGGAACCTACGTCTGTCGCTCCTTCCAGGGAGATCCTGGGTCTCCCACTGCCTTCTGAGCTCCTCACTGCTATGGGAGCTGCTGCTTCTCGGTGGTCAGATGGTGCCCCTTCCCCCCCCACCCCCAGCAGTATCTCAAGATAAAAATAAACCGCCCTGTTCTCTTCTCCTGCTGCGCCAACTGAGGGGGAGCCTAGCCAGGAGGAGCAGCAGATGGAGTAGGAGCAGAGGGGCGGGAGGAAGGCTGGAGGACGAGGAGAAGGAAGAGCAATGCAAAGTGCCGTGTAGAGCCCTGGCACAGAGGCCATGGGGAGTTTTAATCCAGGGATGGCAACACACCACTCTGGATCTCCCCAACGTGTCCTGCTGGGTGGAGGATGGAGGTGAAGAGTGTCTGTCTGGATGAAGGCTCTGAGGGCAGCTGGGAGCCAAGGGAGAGGCACCTGGCTTGGCAGACTTCCTGGAAGAGCTTCAGGAGCCATTTGGAGGCACCAGGTGGAGGCCCTTGGTTTAGAAAGCGGAGCAAAGTGGTAGGAGAGGGAGGGGGAGGGCTTTAGGGCCTAATCCTCAACCCCTACCTAGAGCCCACATGCTAGTGGTACTCACTTCTGTGTGGTGGAAAGAGACCCACGCCTGGCATCTATTACCTGTGTGGTCCTGGGTGAGTCACTATCACCTCTTTGCCTCCCAGTTTCCTTGTCTGGTGAATGGTAGCGATGCAGAGAGCAGATGCTATTGCTTCCCTCTGTGTTCTGTCCTAGGTCAGAGATCTTGGACATGAGTGAGCATCAGAACCACCTGTGAGGTGTGTTGTGTGATGGATGGGGGCCCTACCTCCAGCCCTTCTGCTTCAGCAGGTCTGGGATGGAGATCAGGAATGTGCATCTCTAACAAGTTCCTTAGGTGGTACTGATGTCCCTGGTCCAGGAATCACACTTTGAGAACCATTGCCCTTGATATTCACAATGCTGTCTAAGCTTCTGGCTTCCTTCTTGGCACCTGGGATTGCTTGCTCAGGCCTCTCTGGCCTTGAAGACATGCATGGTGCAGATGCAGGCTGGGGGAAGCTGTAGCTGGGTCAGTTGCTGGCCTGGAGAACATCTGCTCAGCCAACCAGGGTCCCCAGCATCCTTGCCTTCGGGAGGGACAAACGTGGGTATGCTCTACACTTCTTCCTGGGCTCCCTATAGGGACGGAGCTCCACATGTGCAGTGGGAGCACTCTGTGCCCGTTTCTGTCCCTGTCGAGTGTCACTTTTCCACTGCTTCCTGGGCTCAAGTCTCCAGCCTGTATTCATTGTTTGTCCCAAATGTACTTCTGGGAGAGGTTTCCCCTGAGAGTCAGCGGATATCTTAGTGTCTGTGACAGAGGGAAGAGGGGGTGCTATTCTTGGTGAGTATCAGAACCACACGATACTCTAGCAAGTTCTGGTTCTAACGGGGTTTGCTCAGGAGCTTTTTCTGTAGCCTTGGGAAACTTATTCTCTGGTTTGGGCTTTTGTTCCCAGATGCGTGGTGAAGGGCTGGTTCCCCGCGGGTTCTAAGTGTCCTCCTGCCAGTTCTGAAAATAGAGAAGACCAACCTCTTCCAGGTGTAGGGTCCACCCTGGCCCACGGAGGGGTGGCTGTGAGGCAGGCATCAGCCAGGAGGTGGCGCCAATGTAACGTCCAAAGACTAACGGAGGCTGGAACCCTGCGCGAAGTTGGCTTTCCCCAAGGTGGCTCCACCGGCCCCTGCTCTCCATACTCGGAGATGAGGCCTTTCTGCCTTTGTCCGGCCTTCCTGCAGCCTCTCCTCTGTGACCCCATCCATTCCCAGGTTTCAGCCTCCCTGTGAGCTATTTCTTTACAAACATCCACTGTGTCCCTGCTGTGTGCCTTAATCCTGGGCCAGGGCTACACAGGGATAGGACTACGTGGGCACTCAGTATGTGCTAGGCACAGTAAGGCTAAGAACTCTACGTGCATTGGCTTGATTTGTATGACAACCCCACAGAAGCTGTGGTCTCTTACAATACCCATTTTACAGATGGGTCAAATGAGTCGCTGGGGCCTCAAGAGTTAGAGCTGAGATTTGCACCTAACTAGGTTCACCCAGGAGCCTGTAGCTTTTGCCTGATCCACGAGTAGGGACACAGGCACATGTTAACAGGCCATCAAGACAGTGCGACCATTCAGAGCAGGACAGCGAGCCTCTAGAGTGGGCGGGGAGGAGACTTGCACTGGCCCATGGGCGGGAGAGGGAGAGGCAGCAGCACCTGTTGGCTCCTTCCAATGGTTACCTGGAAGGAGCGAGGGTCATACGTTGCTGGGGATCCAGATTTTTATGTGGATGCTCCCAACACTTAAATGCTACCCATTCCACAATTTAAACAACTTGGTGAATGCCCAAGAAAGCATGTCACAGAAGGTTGGGATTGAAAGACTAGGAATTTCATTGCATCAGATGGTTTGGTTTTATGTATGGGGAAACTGAGGCTCTGGGAGGATCTGGGCCAGATCACCCAGAATGTCCTAGGCTGGTTGGCCTCCTTTTTGGTGCTCAGCCAGGAGCTCAGGCTACACCTCCTGCCCAGGCATTGGGCTGAGGGACCTGCCTTGGAGTAGGCCAATCTGGATGCAGGTGTGGTCCTCACCCTGTGACCACCGCCCCAGGCCCCTTCCCCAGCACACACACTCCCTTCCCTAGGCCTGCCGGCCATGCAGTCCGTTCCTCGACCAGCAGAAATTATTAAAGACTCTGCCCCCAAGGACTTCTTTTCCCTAGCATAGTTCTGGCACAGAAAATTACAAACCCAGCTGAAGGGGTTGGGGAGGGTGGTGCAGGTGGAATTTGGACAGGGACAGAGTCAGGTGGGTGGGAGGAGAGGAGGCGAGTGGACCCCATGCAGTCAGGCTATGGATCCAGGGGAGGGGGGGCTCACGGCGGGGGCAGGGAGGCTGCTCCTGAAATAAGAGAAATAAGCGGCGCTGCTCAGTGGGGGCTTCCAGAGGGGCCAGCAAGGTGGACGAGCAGCTTTCGGCCTTTGAGCGGGGGATGGGACGGTGGCCCCTGTTCTCTGCCCCTCCCTGTCTCTGGGGCTGTCTGCCTTCTCTCGTGGACCGGCACATGCTGCTGGGCCTTGGTGCCCAGCTACTTTGTTGCCATTTCCTCCCTCCCTCCCACCCTCTGCGGCGGCTGCCTGGCCCTCCGCCCCCTCCCTCCTGCTTCCTGCCTTGCTCTTTACCCACCTCCTCTCTCATCTCCAGCTCGTCCACCTCACCCCTGTTCTCTTTGGAACAAGTGCTATTGTTTGGCTAATTCTAAAAGTCGTACTTGTGTATCACACCCCGCCCTCCAAGCCATAAACAGGGACAGGAGGAGACCACCTGTAAGCCTCGAGTGCTCATCCCTGCCAATCACAAGGGATGGTCCTTCCAGACTTGCTTTCGGTGCCCAAAATATTTCTAAAATTTGAGATATTATTATATGCACTGTTTTGCAAGCAGCCTCCTTTGCTTAGCTGTATACAACAGACGTCTCTCCATGCCAATAAATATAGATCGACAACATGTTTTTTAATCGCCGCATAGATTCCATCATAAGGCAGGGCTGTGATTGACGGAAGGACTCCCACATTGCTAGACCTTCCCAGCAGGTTCTCTCTTTTCCTCTTGAGTCTCCCAGGACCCTGGAGGGCTGGGGGGTCCAAGGTGTTTAATACCAGCTCCCCTGCATCAGACGTGTGCCATCTCATTAGCGAGCCTGTCCCCCCAAGTGAGGCAGGCAGGAGTCACAGTAGCAGCAAGAGGCCTAATTGAATGTAACTAATTATTCACTCCTTTAAATGGGCCTGGGAGGGACAGAATTACTCACTCTGAACTGGGGAGACAGGGAACTGGCCGGCTGGCAAACAAATCCTGGGGCCTGCAGAGAAGGCTCTCCTTGGAATACTAATTAGGGCAGAGCGATGGGATAAAATCAGGCTCACGGACGCCTCTCTCTGCCCCCTTCCTCATCCAGGAAGTTGGGGTGTGGAGGAGGAATGGTTCTTGTGTGATTCTAACTGGAGGACCCAGGGAGGGGTCATACGGGGCAGGGGGAAATGAAATGCTGAGCCTGGGGCCTCAGGCAGGCCGTGGCTATCATTTATTATGAACAGAGAAAGAAGGGCCCTTGCAGGCCGGGAGGGAAGCAGCCAGGGTATGTGCGTAGGGTGGGTGTTAGCAAGCAACTTCACCCCACCTACAGCCACCGTGGGGTCCCAGCTGACTCTGAAAACAGAGCCCCTCCGCAGAGTCCCGAGCCCTACTAAGTGACAGTCCCTGTACCGAAGCCTGGATGCCCACAATCCTTTGGATACCTGCTGTCTCCTGGGAGGGAAACGGAGGCTCAGAGAGGAGAGTGACCCATTGATTCACGATCAGGC